TCTCTCTGCTGCTTCTCTGCCTACTTGTGATCTCTGTCTGTCAAATAAATAAATAAAATCTTAAAAAAAAAAACACCTAACTTTTTAGTTAGTGTATTTTTATTTCTTATAGAAGAATAGCATATAAATTAGTTATTCCTTGTGTACTCAGCTACTGTATTTCTAGTGCTGCTTCAATGTATTAGGCTTCCAGGGCGTCCAGGTTGTGAGGAACAGAAATGTGTTCGTATAATCTTGAGGAGTATGGGTTTGGTTAGGAATTTCATGAACTCATTCATTTGCCTTATAGAACTGGAAATTTAGGATATACCTTCTGTAGGATTCCAACAGCATTCTAACATTTGTGCTTTTTCACTAACTTTTTTTCCAGTGCATTCTTCCCTCTCTGCCATTCCTTTAACTTGGTTTCTCTTCTTTTGGTTCCCATTGCTTCCTTGTATCTTTACTTTTTCTTTCCTTCCTTCCTTTTTTTTTTTTTTTTACTTGAGTATAGTTGACACACAATGCTACATTCATTTCTGGTGTACAAGGTAGTGGTTTGACAAGTTTATATATTATGCTAGGCTCAACACAAGTGTAGCTATCATCTGTCACCATACAAAGTACTACAATATTATTGACTGTATTCCTTATGCTGTGCCTCTTAATCCTGTGACATACTCATTCTACAACTGGGAGCCTTACACCTTTACTCTTGACCACTATGTCTTCACCTTCTCTTTGCCTCAGAATTGCTGTGGAGAAACTCCTAACTTTCACATGTGTGTTAACTCCTTCTTCATGCCTGGTCTTGGGGTGGCTATTACTGGATTGATTGAGTACAGTTTCATGTAGTTTTCCAAGTTTTCTGTCAGAACCATCCTAGACAAGTGTTTATCCTCTGTAATCTCCTTTCAGCTCAGACACTGATCTTTAGGCTGTTTCACTGTGAATAAGGGCAACAGACTACTTTGTTTACTTACAACCTTAGAATAATAATAACTTGTAACATTTTCTGAGCACTTGCTATATATTCCTCATTTTCTAATTTTACATGTATGTAGTTTAATCTTATAACAATCTTATGAAGTAGGTGATACTATTAAACCCCGTTTTACAAATTGGAAACCAAGGCACAGGGTGCTAATTAACTTGTCCAAATGGTACATAGTTTATTTTCGGGCTGTGAACTTGGCAGTCTGACCTTGGATTACAGGCTCTCAGTTTTTAAATTCTACTGCCTGCTCATGAAAATTACTCATGACAGAATCAGGCTTTACTTAGAAATTATTCGTAATGCCCCTAACCATACAGGGTAGAGTTTGTATACTGAGAATTAGGCACCATTAATCATATGCCAGCCATTGCCCTGTTAAAGACCTTTATGACATAATGCTAAAGTGGAAAAGAATAGCCACAACAAGCAATGTAATCTTGTCACTTCACTTGAGTCTAGTAATGCATTTCATCATTTATTTCCATAACTGAAGCATTAAGCAGTTTAGAACACTGCCTCATCTACACATATGAAAATTTCAAACTGCCGAGGCAGGAAAATAACGGGCAACTTTTGGTATAAGCTACGTCTCATGATTTAAAAAATGTATTACTGAAATTACTGTATTTCACTGGAAGAAATTGAGGTTTAAGTTGTTCATCACTCCAGATCTCCATTTATATCAGAAATAGAGGCGTGTTCATTCATACCTTCTTCAGGTCTACTCATCCTGCCCACGTATAACAAATTCAATCTAAGTAGAGTTCATGAGGAATGACACCTCCACCATTGACCAATAACCAAAAACTTTTATCTTTAATTGAAAAGAGCAGACTGATAAAATCCAGAAATGGAAGCTGCCAATGAGCTGAAGCCATTATACACAATGCTAGCTGTGAGGCCTGGGTTTTATTTTTCCTGAAGCCTGCTCAATCCAGAATATGTATGATATTAATCAGTCTGTACTTACCATTTACTTTTACTTGAATTCATCTGAGGGTTTGTTCCCTGAAATCTAATGAGTCTTACTGTGTATGTCAACAGTATTGTGATTGATTACCTTTGGAAGTCTTGGGTTGTACTGTCAAACATTGTGGTCATTGTCCATATGTTGTCATTAAAATTAGTTTTAATTTTTATTTTTAATTTAAAAGTTAACTTTAAGTTACAGGTTAATTTCTTGGGCCTTATGTTTCCGTAGGGCACTTTTATCATGTGTCTTATATATCTTAGTCTACTGAAAATTGGCACAGTTTCTTTCTTCCGGAAGTGGCCATATAGCTTAGTGACTAAGTTTGAATCCCCGCTTCTCAACTCACCAGTTGAGTGTATTTCCTCTTTGTGTTTCAGTGTCCTCAACTGTGAAATGGTGACAGTAGTCCCTCCTTCATAAGATTTATAACACCTACTACATAGTAGGGGCTCAAAAACATCTTACAGTGATGATGGTGGATAACAGCATCCACCACATTGCTTCTGGCACTGAAGCCATTTGCTGGGCCTAGAGAAATGACCCTCAAATTCATATTGAAGGTGTGACCTCGCTGTACAGGAAGGATTCTGATTCATTAGGTCTGGATGGAGACCAGGAATCTGGTTTTTCAAACAACCTTTGCTTTCCCTCAATATCCCCAAGCTGCCATGATTCTGATGCATAGCCAGTTTTGGAAACCACTAGCCCAGAGATTGGTTTCTAAGGAAACCAAGATAAATATCAGCTCAAGAGGTAATATAGGGGTGACTCTTGTAAACCTGTTACGTGAAGTGAAAGATGCCAGTCACAAGAGACCACATACTGTGATTCCATTTAAATGAAATATCCAGAATAGATAAATATAGAGAGACAGAGAATAGTTTAGTGGTTGCCTGGGGCCAGGAGGGGGGAGGGAATGATGAGTGATTGCTCATGGATATGGGATTTCTCTCTGGTGATGAAAATGGTCTAAGACTGTGGGGATAGTTTTACAACTGTGAATATACTATAAGTCATTGAATTCTACAGCTTAATTGAGGGAAATCTATGTTTTCAAATAAATATTTCAATAAGTATTTTTTTTCCAGTGGTCAATTAGAATTGAGGGAGGATAATTTTTTTTTTTTTTATGGGAGGGGGTAGTTGGGGAAACTAGGGGAAAGGGCTCAAAATGGATGCCTGGAAAGAGGCTTTTTTTTTTTTTTCCCTTTAATTTATTCACAAACACAAACATATAATAATCTAATTATCTGAAAGCCTTCTGGGAACTTCATCTCCTGGAAAACTGCCTTGTAAAGGAAATAGGTTTAAAAGAAAAAAAGACTTTTGAGTTCAGAAAACACCTGCATTAAAGCCATGGACAGGAATAATTCAAAGATAATGGTGCTGGAGAAAATCCTCAAAATAAATGCAACTAAAATAGAGACCAGAGATTCATGGTAAAATACTTGAAAGGTATTTTTTGTAAAAAATGAAGCCAAATGTTATATTGGACAAATTTTAGGTTATAATCCCAATGCAGCTAATTCTTAGAATAAATAACCAATTGATGTTTCTTCCCCCTTGGAATAGACATAGCATAGATTTGTAGGAAATAAACAGCATAGGCATGGATTGTAACAAAGGACCATGGCATTTACTTAATGTTTGACTTTCACAACAAATAAGTCAGTTTTGTAAAAGTAATTAAGTACTTAATCACTTTTCTCTGTGGCATTTCTTAGTCATTTAATATTTAAGTCATTATTTAAAGTACCTGTTATCATTCCTTCGGTTTTTCTTTTTGGTTGTTAACTGGTCTGATTCTTAAAATTGTTTCTTGCCATTAACTTTGCTTTTCATTGCAGCAATCTCCAGTATCACCTTTAAATGTTTCCTGGGAGCCTATTATTGCAAGATGTGCAGTTTCTTTTCATAATTTATTTGCATTGTGTTGTTGGATTATCTGTGAGAGCCTGATAAGAGCTAATGTTACCTATTATTTAGGGAGGAGTGAGTCAGAGGATTAATTTTATATGGGGACAATTCATTATGGATATTTTTATATAATGACAGACAACTTTGTACCCCAGATAACAAATATTCATTAAAATGGAGTACCTATATTTATTGGATTGCTAAGTTATTGGGGTGCTAACTCACATGCTGTTGACTAGTGTACAGTTTAAAAAACGAAAACATCTATTCACAATGTAGGAGAAGCGGTAAGGTAGCTGATGGGGTAGGGGTGGAGATTGTGGTCAGGTGGAACTGCCTGGTATTAAGGGAAGGGAACTGATTTCCTGTATAGTAATGCATACCATAATTCTGTTTTAGTAGTGAGGAAACCTGCACCTAGAGAAGCTAAGTAATTTGCTCAAAACAATACCTCAGTTGGGTCTGTCTTATTCCAAAGTTTGTATTCTTTTAAAATAACATTATACTGTCTTTTGACAAAAAGTTTAGCTACCTGAAAAAGTTTGTCTCCTCACCAGCCAAAAATATATGTGATTTACAATTTTACATAATCTAGTTGAAAGGCCTTATAGAAAAAAAGGTTCTTGTATCAACTACTTGTCAGAACTTAACAGTTATAATAATAACTTAGTTGATGCCTGTTAGTTTATAAAGCACGTCTACATCAGAAATTTCATGTTTTATGTAACAACCCTGTGAAGTAATCCTCATTTTACTAGTAAACTTGGGCTTGAAGTTTAAAGTCCGTTATATGAGGGCCCAGGTTTTTTTGCTTCTAGTTCTGTTTTTCCATTATGCTACACAGCTTTCTTGTAGAATAACAGAAGCCCTACAAGCATCCCTTTTGTAGCAATAAAATACCCTCAAAATATTACCCTTAGTGATATCTGTTGGACTGGTTTACTATATCATATTTAAATATATTTTAATAACATTTTAAAATTGTGGTATGTTCAAACTATACACCTTAACGTTAATTTCTATAGATTTGATGGCAGTGTCTGTCCTTTACTTCCTAATAGTTAATGATTTATTTTTAAGTGGATTGATTTAAAATGGAAATTGGTATAATCTAATTTTTTTTTTTTAATCTAGTCTCTGTAGAAGCTGAAATCCATCAATCACTGTTCTTCAAAATGCAATGGAATGTACCAAGGTCTGTATTCCGACTGGCACATAGGACATGCGTGGAACCACATAAAGCCAGTCTTTTTGGACACTGTCAAAACATGAAGGGACCATTACATTTGTATAAAGCTGAATCCAGAGTAGTTTTGGTACAGGACCCTCAAAAACGATGGCTGCATTTATCTGCTGTCCCGTGTGTTGCAAACGAAAGGAAGCCGTTCACTGCTCATCCACCCCAGCCAGGGGTCCTTCGCCATAAACAGTGGGAGCAAGATATTTTATCCAAGAGGGTTATGTCATCCAGTGCCACCTCCCCTGGAACTCCTTCAGAAAAAAAGGAAGAACCTGATCCTTTGCAAGACAAATCTATTAGTCTTTATCAGCGATTTAAGAAAACATTTAGACAATATGGAAAAGTTTTGATTCCAGTGCATCTAATAACTTCTGGTGTTTGGTTTGGAACATTTTATTATGCAGCCATAAAGTAAGTTTTTGCTTGGGTTGAGCACCTCTCCCTGCTTTATCAGAATGTTAATCTTCTTAATTGTAGTAATCAAAGCCTTAGATAGTTTTTTAAATGCTTTAATGTCTTTAACTGTTGAGTGTGACTGCTTTTCATAACTGTTTTTGAGGTTTTCTTAGGTAAATTTGCTTGTTGTTCATAGCAGGCGTTATATGAAAATTTTAAACTGTACCATCTCATTTAATCCTCACAACTCTATGAAGTAGGTAGTGTAATTATTCCCATTATATTGATGAGATTAAGGAAGAATAAGTCAAAACAACTTAGCTTTTTCCCAGATATTTTGGAGTCTTATTTCAAAGCCCCTGCTGTACATCACTATGCTCGTCTGTCAACATTCAACATGGCACAGAAATAAAATAAGAGATTTCGGAAATTTGACAGCACTGTTGAGCTCTGTACTTATGTATTTCTTAAAGGGTTCATGAATGTAAAAAGATAACTAGTTACTTTGCCCTATATATGATTTTGGTGGGAAATTAATATCATGTTTTTTGCCAAAGCCTGCCTAATATCTGTTACAGATACCAAAACGAACAAATTGCAGGCTCATGTTTTAGTGTTACCCACGGCTGATAATGTGTCAAGGTAAGGTCTTTTGTTCTCATCAGAAGTTAATTTGTTGGACACTTAAAAAATTGAGCATAGATCTCATGTTAGGTGTTCTTATCACAACTAACATAAACTTTGAAAAAATAATACCTTCAGGCTAGGCCCACCAAATATCTAAATGCACAGAATATCTAACACAGAATATCTAAATGCATTTTTTGTTGTTGTTGTTAGATACTCCTCCTTTCTTTTAAGGTAAGTTTATTATTTACAATGTTTTAGGAGCAGGGTACACGTTGAAACAGATCCCAATGATTTCCAGTTTGTTTCTGCCACTAGCAATGAAGGCGTTCCGACGTCTGCCTATTCCTTCGAATGTGCCCTGTGGGCTTTTCTTGTGTTAGCCTGGGCATGACAGAGCTGAGTGAGCTCACCATCCTGAGCGCAGTGAAATGGCACAGTGAACCCCACTTTGAGTTTTAGTAAACTCAATCCTTATGGGGCTAGAATTATTTTATTTTTTCCAGAGGTCCATCGATTTTCAGTGTTTGGTTATATTTAATGGCGTGATAGATTAATAAGATATTTTAGTTTTGCACGTAAGGCTCACTCCTTGCGAAAACGTTATTTTTTACTAAATTAAAAGATAATGAAATGGAGACTTATTCTTGGAAAACATGGGGATTAGAAGTGTTTCTTTACAAAAGTTCTGAAAGGATTTTTTAGCTTGTGTAGTTGATGCTGTTCTGATTCTCTTCATATCTATTTCTCCATTTTCTTCCTAATCAATTATACCCTTCTTCATTACATATCCTTATCCTTTAAGAATTGTGTCTTTCTCTTTATAAATAACTTGGCATTTGGGGACTATCATTTATAATGGCCTGAAAGAGCCTCTCTGTACATTTCCCCCACGGTATACCCATTACATACCATTTGTTTGCATCTGTTGGTCAGCATGTGTATCTGTACTTGATAGGTGTGGAGGAGGGAGAGAAGATCCAGCAGTCACAGAAAATGCAACAAAAAAACTTAAGTGTTTAGCCTGCTGGGGGGAAAAAAAAAAAGAATTGTCCCTTTCTTTACAGAAGATCCTTGTATACGTACACTTTATGGATTATCTTTTTCATTAATGACATTTTTCTGCGCATGTATAATATTTATAGACGTCTTCAAGACTGCCCTTAGTGAGGCGCCTGGGTGGCTCAGTCGGTTAAGCGGCTGCCTTCGGCCCAGGTCATGATCACAGGGTCCTGGGTTTGAGCTCCGCGTTGGGTTCAATGCTCCTTTTGCCCTTTCTCTCTGACACAACCTTGTAGAGATCTTAAATCTGACCAGAAGTTCTCTGTTTGATAACTTGTAGCTTTGTGATGATGGTTTTGTTCCTGTAGTTAGATGCCTTGTGTTTTAGGCCTCAGGTTTCTAAAGTTACAGATCCATTCTGAGGCAAAATGCTGCCTGATTTTTATGGCATTGTATTCTTACTGTGAATGTACTTTTTTCCTTGTGTATTTCTGCATCAGTTGAAACGTCATAGAGCTGGCATTTGTAAAGCACAGATTTCTGTGAGGCCATGGAAGCTTCAGACTAAAAAGTGACAAGTGGATATTACTGTTGAAATCAGTCCCTCACTACTGTTTCATATTTAGCAATTCCAAAGGAAATGGAAGTTATTATTACTTTAAAATAGTCAAATCATCAAATCAGTATTTTAGAAATAAATAGAACCAGGGTACTTGGGGTGGCTCAGTTGATTAAGCATCTGATTCTTGATTTCAGCTCAGGTCATGATCTCGGGGTTGTGAGATCGAGCCCCACGTGCAGCTCCGTGCTCAGTTGGGAATCTGCTTGAGATTCTTTCCCTCTGCCCCTGCCCTCCCGGCACATGCTCATGTGCTCTCTCCCCTTCTTTCTAAAATACAAAAATCACTAAAATAAAGAACTAGAACCAGTTGTTTGCTTCTTTATTTTGTAAAAGATACTTGTGCAAGGTTTCTGAGGTAATTATTTGGTCTTTATGATAGTTCTTTTTTTTTTTTCTAAATCACTCAGTTTTATCTAATTTTTGGCCAAATGTTTGTCTTTTGTTTCCCCTTCATGATTACTTTTAAATTACACACTGGGCTAGGAAATGAGTGATAAAATAATTTTATGATTGTATTCATTATAGAAGATATAATTAGCATATCGTGGTAAGATATTAATGGTGCATAGTGACTTGATTAGACCCATAGAATAGCTAAGTCCTAGTACTACTATGTTTTGCTTTAATGGGATTCTGTAGTTATCTAAGAGACTTGAAAAGGAACTTATGGTGGAGAAAGAAGAAACCAGGTTGGATTTGCAGTCAATTTTGTAATTTTTAACTTTTTAAAGATCCTTCAGTTACCTTCTTTCCTTTTGTGGATGGCAGGTAATTTTCCTTAATGATGGTCAGCCATATGTTCTTGAGAGTCCCTGATTTCAGAGTATTATAGTGAAATCATAGAGGGACAACGTCCCCAATTAACTGAGTTTTTTTTTAATATTAAAAATAAATTGATTTGCTAGCTATTATGTTATACAGAATACAGCGATCTATAATAATAATGGATCTAGGTAATTCCCTTTCTTAATTACAAAAAGAAGGAACACCTATACAGAGACATGCCCTGTAGACCCTCTTCTAACCGTGAGTCACACATACACCAGCTGTGGGACAGACTGACATCATGTGGCTTCTGTTGTGATACACTGAGACAGAATTAACTGTACAGTTTTCCTGTTTAAAAACATTTACCTGAACCTGATCAGGAGGGAAAAAACAGACAAATCCAAATGGAGGGGTATTCTCCCTTGCTAACTGGTCTGGAAACTTCAAAAATCTCAGTGTCAAAGATGTCATGCCCTCCTTCTCAAAAAAGTTCTGAGGATCACTTCTAGAGGAAAGAAGACCGGAAAGAAATGACAGGATAGTGACAAGGGACATACTGGAATGAACAATTCAGGAAATTTTAATATTAAATAATATATTATGTATTAACTATATACTCTTGTGTATGTTAAATTTCCTGAATATGGGGGCACCTGGGTGGTGCAGTCAGTTAAGCATCTGACTCTTGGTTTCAGCTCAGGTTGTGATCTCAGGCTCATGCTAAGACCTTCTGTGCCCCTTTCCCCCATCCCCTCCTTTTTAAAAATTTAATAAATCTTTAAAAAAATTCCCAAATATGATAGTTATCTTTATGTAGGAAAAGCACAGAACAAGAACCTTGTTCTGAGTGAGGGGTGAAGGATTAGTGTCTGTAAGACAATACACAGTGATAAAGGGAGAGAGTATGAGAGCACATGCCAGGATAGCTAAATGTTGATAATCATGGAAACTAAAAATAAATTAGGGCTTAACAGTTCATATTAGAGACTTTTCTTTGCCTTCTCTGCCTCGATCCAAAAATTTGTTGCAGTTTATGGTAATTGCTTCTTCACCTACCTGCTAAGCCTGCTAATAGAATAGAGACATCCATTTAGAATAATTGAAGTTTTCATCAAACCCATAGAATCATTTATTCTTTGTATAATAACACAATAAGTACTGTTATAATGTTGCTTTTACAGCAGTATAGTTTGACATGTAATTTTAGAGGTGAAAAGCTTAGGTCTTGAAGTTTGAATTGGAGCATTCTGAAGAAGTAGTGTTTGGTTGGGGAAATGAAGACCAAGTAAATCATTCTGGTCATTCCTTCTCTTTTGTCATTTAAAGCCATTAATTTTACTCTGCTAGATCCTTCTATTTTTATAAATATGGTAATTAGGGATATACGTCCATGTGCAGAAGCAAAGCAGAAGCTGCAAACAATAAGATACAGTGTAACACTGATGTTTCTGTACTTTTTCTTCTAGAGTTAAATCACAGTTCTTGACAATGCATAAGTGACCTTTAAACAAAATTTGTTTTGGTGTTTTCAGAAAACTTTTTGAAAATATTTATCCCTTAAAGTTTGTGTGTATACATACATAATTGTGTGTGTGTGTGTGTGTGTGTATATATATGTGTGTGTGTGTGTGTATATATATATATATATTACTTTGTTTCTTAGAGGGGTGATGTATAAATATATAAATCATTTTGTTTCTTTCTTAGAGGAGTGAATGTCGTTCCTTTTCTAGAATTCATTGGGTTACCTGACAGCATAGTAAGCATTCTGAAAAATTCCCAGAGTGGAAATGCACTAACAGCATATGCCTTGTTTAAGGTAAGTACTGTTATAAATGAGTTGCTCTTCACACTTAACCAATAACAGGCTCAGTTCCTCATAAAACTCCTTGTTAGTTCCCAGTAGTAATTTTTTGTAACCTAAAATACCACAGAAAGTACCATAGTCCAATGGCTAAAGTTTATATTTTTTTAATTTAATTTAATTTTTTGGTGTGTGTTCCAAAATTCATTGTTTATGTACCACACCCAGTTTATATTTTTTTTAGTTTAAATTTTAAGAATAACTAAAATGATGGTTTAGAAAGAAGTGACTTGAAAATAGGTAGATCATTCCTAACCTGCTGTGATGAGACAAATATGAGACTTCTGAATTTCTGGAAGTCACTTTTTGACATTTCTCCTACTTACGGTATCTTAATTTTCCTTATTCAGAGATCCATGACTTGTTGGTTATATTTAGTATTTATTTTACTGTTTATACTAATTCATCTACTTGGTAAGTCAAATTAGTTCAGATTGTTTTATGGGATAAACCATAGACTCAGTAGCTGTTACATAGGTTTCATTTTAGAAGTTTGTCCACTATAGCTGTTCTCTGGAGTTGAGACGCCGACATCTTTATAAGCAGTTTCTACATCTGTGGGTCTTTCTTTTAGAAGAGGAGACTCACCAATCGGAGAAAGACAACTATCATATGATCTCCCTGATATGAGGGAGAGGAGATGCAACATGGGGGTTAAGGGGGTAGGAGAAGAGTAAATGAAGCAAGATGGGATTGGGAGGGAGATAAACCATAAGTGACTCTTTATCTCACAAAACAAACTGAGGGTTGCTGGGGGGAGGGGGATTGGGAAGGGGGTGGGGTTATTATGGACATTGGGGAGGGTATGTGCTATGGTGAGTGCTGTGAAGTGTGTAAACCTGGCGATTCACAGACCTGTACCCCTGGGGAAAAAAATATATGTTTATAAAAAATAAAATTAAAAAAAAAAGGAGACTCACTATAAATTGTGGATTTTAGCTATATTAATCTTACTTTTCTCAGTTGACAAATAATTAATGAAGTTCTATATATCTTCATCCTAAGAAAGAAAACAGAAAACGTTTGGAAACTAGATTTTATTTTATTTTACTTTTGTTGTAATAAAAATACTTAGAAGTATGGTTTTATAGTAGTACAGGTAACATTTTATTCTGTCATCCTCATTAAAATCCTTAGAAATCTTGGGAGATTTCCATTTTTATTTTGATTCTAACTAGAGGGCTAAAGCCTAAGTGCTGAGTTTTCAACATTAAAACTTAATAAACTTACCAATTATCAAGTTTCTAGTTATAGTGGGTATAATTTACCTTAATTAGTCAAAGTATCATGACGATTTAAGCCATTTCCTTAATTATAATCACTCCTTATCCTATGCTCCCATAACATGTATGTAACTCTAATAGTTCGTGTCATGGTCTGGGGTTAGTTTTGCAGGGCTTTTTTGTTTTTTTAACATTTGGTTTCTTTAGTGGATTTTAAGTGTTTAGGAATTCAAAGTCGTGTTCTGTTTCTCTGTGTTTTCACTGCGCCTGATACTGTGCTTTGTAGGTGCATCAATGCTCAGTGCATGTTTCTTATGTGGGAATTGAAACAACGAACCTATACATGTAGGTCGGTTAGTGTCAGCAGTGTTCCTTCCCACTCACTGTTCTCTGTGAGGTGGGAAATATGCAGGGGATTCTCCTGGGTATTTTCTTGTCACCCATGATTTCTCAGGTGGAGTAACAAACACTTGAGATTTATTGCTTCAATAAGGCAAAGCTTCAAAAAGAGGTGTGGTGAAGAGGGGAAAAACCACCAGCGGTGTGACCTTGTGACACTGACTAGCACACAGTCCTCAGCCCCCTAGCACTGTCCTGGAAGTGTACCTTTGTTTGAATTGACAAAAATTTGTTGAACTCCTTCCTATTCTGTGCCAAGTGCCATTCTAGGTACTGGGAATACTGTAATTAAATAAAATGGTACAAAATACATGTCCTCATGGAACTTATACTCTAGTAGTGGGAGGCAGTTAGATAAAGAAGGTAAAGTTAAAACACACACACCGGGGTGCCTGGGTGACTCAGTGGGTTAAAGCCTCTGCCTTCAGCTCAGGTCATGATCTCAGGGTTCTGGATCGAGCCCCGCGTCGGGCTCTCTGCTCAGCAGGGAGCTTGCTTCTCCCTCTCCCTCTGCCTGCCTCTCTGCCTACTTGTGATCTCTGTCAAATAAATAAAATCTTAAAAAGGTGGGGAGGCACCTGGGTGGCTCAGTTGGTTAAGCAACTGCCTTTGGCTCAGGTCATGATCCCGGAATACCAGGATCAAGTCCCGCATCAGGCTCCCAGCTCCATGGGGAGTCTGCTTCTCCTCTCTCATGCTCTCTTTCACTGTCTGTCTCTCAAATAAATAAATAAAATCTTTAAAACACACACACACACACACACACATACACACACACACACACACACCATGGAGTTTAGGTGATGTTAAGTGCTAAGAAAAAAGAACAAACCAGCAAGTGTTAGAGCATTTTTTTTTTCTTCTTATTTATTTTTTTCCAGAGGGAGGGTTTCCAGGAGGGAGGGAGTTAATCAGGCAGTTGTATGCAAGAAGAGCATTCAAGGTCAAGGAGGGGAAATGGAAGTATACCTGGGTACCTGGAATATTGGAGGGAGCAGGGAGGATGCCAGTGTGGCTGGGATGAGTGAATGCCAAGAGGTAATAGAGCAGCCAGATGAGGGTGGCCTTATGGGCCATTATGAACACTCTGGCTTTTACTCAGAAGAGATGAAAAGTCACTGGGCAGTTTTGAATACCTGATTTATGTTTTAACAAAATCATTTTGGCTGCTATGTTGAGAACAGTCCATATATATAGCTCAGCGAGGGTAAGAAGCCCAGAGATGGAGCAGGAGGGGTTATTGAAATGGTATGGGTAATAGCTGGTAGTGGGAGGACCCAGGTGGTAGCAGGAGAGCCTGTAAGATGTAGGTGGCTTCTGGATGTGTTTTGAAGATGGAGCTGATGGACTTTTTTAATGGATTGAATATAAATTATGCAAGAGAAAGGAGTTGAAGCTATTGTGTATGTTTTTGGCTTGAGCAACTTAATAGAGTTGCGGGGCACCTGGGTAGCTCAGTCATTGAGCTTCTAGCTCTTGGCAGCTCAGGTCATGATCTCGGATCATGGGATCAAGCCCCATGTCAGGCTCTATGCTTGTGCAGTGGGGGTTTCCTGGTGGCTCAGTCCATTAAGTGTCTTACTCCTGACTTCAGTTCAGGTCATGATCTCAGGTTGATGAAATCAGGCCCCATGTGGAGCTCCCTGTTCAGCAGGGAGTCTGCTTGGGATTCTCCCTCTCCCTCTGTTCCCCCCCCCCCATGCTCTGATAAGCAAATGAAAGAATAGAGTTGCCATTTCCTGAGATGCAGACAGCTTTGAGAGGAGCAGGATTGGGGTGGGACCATTGAACATCATGAGATCAGTTTTGAACAGATGACATTTTGAGCTCCTCTTAGACATGCAAGTGTAAATAAATTGGATGTTGTATATACTGGAATTTAGGGAAAAGGCTCAGTCTGGAAATCTAAGAATCATTAATGTACAGGTGGCACTACAGACTTGAAATTGGAGAAGACCACCAAGGGAATGAGGGAGGTGGAGGAGTACAGGGGCTCAATACTGCCCCACAGTGTTCAGAGGTAGGCAACAGGAAGAAGAATGGGGAGGAAGGAGTGTAAAGGGGCAGCCTCTGAAGTGGAAGGAAACCAGGGCAGTGGGGGCATGGCAGCCAGGCAGGACATGCTCCAAGGAGTAGAGGGGGAAGCTGTCTCCATAGTTCTGATGGCTCACAGGCCTCTTCAGTGACTGATGAGAGGTGGGCGTGAAGGCTTAGAGTAAATTAAGAGAAAATGAAGAGGGAAGGTGGAGATGGAGAGCATATGCAGCTCTTTCAAAGAGTTTTGGTACTGAATTTTAACACAGAAGCTATCAGAATGTGATAGAGTTGCGGTCCGCATTTGTGTTGCTTTTTGACCAGTTCATCTAGTATTCACCTGCGGTCCTTAAATCTCTGGTCAAAGTTAAACCTGTACTTGCCTGCACGGATTTATGGATTTATTTATTTATTTATTTATTTGCTTTGCCTCATGGAAGTTCCCAGTTGGAATTCCAGACCCAGGGTGGGTTGTAATGAGAAGGTAGCATAAGGCCTGGAAAAGTCAAAGGGATTTGGAAGTGAAACTAAACTAAATTCAGTAAAGATTAAACATTTGGCCCATGTTTGCCTCTCACCATTTGAAGTAGTTTGGTTCCGGTTTAGTTCTACATGTACGGTATCCACAGGTTAGCAGGTTTATAAGGACGAGAAACGTATGTGTGTTTGTTGTTGGCCCTGAGCCATCTTTCTCATTTCCCACGTTGCCCGTCTCCAAGGTTCACTAGCGCGTGGTTCCAGGCTTCAGTGCTTCTACTGGGAATATCCTGTAATCCTTGGCTCAGTGTCCAAGTGACAGTGTTTGTAAAATGCGTTTACAGAAGAAGATCCCTTGATAGGAGGGAAAACCATATAGGCTGTGACTATATTAGCCTGGTGAAGCAGTAAAGTAATTTATACTGTTTGGTTATTATTAAAAATTTAAATTTCAGATTGTTTTTGCTAAGACGATAGGCATGATCAGCTATTGATCCACCTGTGTTTGCTTTTCTCCTCAGATTGCAACACCTGCCCGATATACTGTGACTTTGGGTGGAACCTCGTTCACTGTGAAGTATTTGCGTAGTCGGGGCTACATGTCGACACCGCCTCCTGTCAAGGAATATCTGCAAGACAGGATGGAAGAGACCAAGGAGCTTCTCACAGAGAAAATGGAAGAAACAAAGGATAGACTCACTGAAAAATTACAGGAAACCAAAGGAAAAGTTTCTTTTAAGAAAAAAATGGAATAGGGTGCCTTATATAACAGGTGATAGACAATTTCTGCACTTTAACCCTTTGGAAACTATGGACAAAGATACATACATGCTCCTGATAAGATTCTTTTTTTTTTTTTTTTTTTTTTTTGATTAGTTGCCTAAATACACCAGTTCTCTGAGGGTTAAAGACCTAAGATACCTTTTTAAAGTTGAGTATTACTAGAAAAATTAGTGTTTTTTGAAAAGAATAATGGAACCCAGTATAAGAAGTTAACACCAGTAGCAGCATTAAGCAGTGGTTTGTGTCTTCGTAAGTCAGAGCTCTTTTTTCAGGGTCTTCAGAATCATACTTGCTTTGTGTTTTGTTGTAGCAGATGGAGCAGTTGACTCCTTGAATAACTGATGTGGCCCTAGGCAGGGTATTAACGCTGGGTCTTCATCTTTATGTTATTCATTGAGCTTTTAACTCTGTTCATTTCTTAATGTGGAGACCAATATTACCATCACAACTGCCAGTGAATAAGAGGATATTTAGTGTTTCTGTAAAAACCGTAAAATGTGTGTTAAAATACACATTTTATATGAAGGAAGTTAAATAAAGATTGAGTCATATATCTGTAAATAAGATGTATTGGTTACATGTAAGTGAAAAAGTGACCCTTTAAAAAATGATTTTTACCCAAAGCTTGTCAAAATCAGTTTTTTTAAAGCAAATACATATATCTTTGGTACTTTTTCACCTAAAACATAAATCTCTACTTTGAATCATTTGTGTTCTTTCCAACTATTTTTCAGAGGAAATGTGAGAATAATATTATACCTTAAGTTTATTGTTGAAATCAAATATCCTTAAGCCATGACTCAGGTTTGCGGTTCTTGAGCAGATGCAGGTGTGGGAGGATGGAAGGTTCTGTCAGGTTGTTCCAGAGCCGACTTACTCCTGCCATGTGGCAGGCCTTTGTCTCCACAGGCCGACACTCTCAGTGTCTGTTTCAGAGTTAATGTTGATTTCATTGTGCAGTAAATTTTTAAATTGTAGCTGCTTTTTCCCTTATCCTGAAATATCTTTTTCTCTTATATTGAAATATGCGTGAGCATTTTACTTGAATTTTTTTTAATAGCAAAACTGTCATTAAATTATCTGCTTGGAATGAAATTCAGCCATTGTCAGATGTGAGTTGCCATGATTGTGTGTTTGAGGATGTATGTGTCTGTTTCTTTTGCTCTAACTGCTTTTACTTCAGTTCTAACTCTTGAGTTGATACTCAGAAGACAGGATGGCCTCTTTCTAGACCTATCATTGTTTTGAGGGATGTGATAAGGCAGGAAAATGTCCGAGGGACTTCCAGAAGCATTCTGGTAGGGAATCACTGCTGTTGGGTAGGATTTTTGTACTAAATATTTAGTTCGGCCAAATTTAGAGAATAATTTAAAAGAAAAAAATGTTTGCATTTGATACATCTAATCATTATGTTGGAACACTTCACAAGTTAATGCTTTTTTCGGGGGAGGGGCAGGGCAGAGCAGCCAAGGGGCCCACTGTTGCTCTGCCACACACACTCTTGATCAGGCAGAATGGTTTGGTCTCCTGATACACAGCTGAAGCCATGATTTCAGATTGACAGCACGTTTCAAGTCTAAACACCATTTCCATGTTTTAGCTTGCTTATTCACATTTTTGCAGATACTAAATGCTAAAATATTAACAAATTTCTTGTTTCTTTTTTTTTTTTTTGACCACTTGAGACTGTGCCTTTGTTTTAACATCTTATATGAAACGCTTCTGAAACAATTTACTTTCCATATTACACAGGGCATATTTTCCAGTAGGGTTAAAATTTGGTTTCTTAGTAGTCACTAATAACCCTGATACTAAAATTTACTTTTCCTGACTGTCCACCATTTGAGTTTTGTTACCTTCCAATTTTGTTACTGTGTTTATCCAGTTATAGAAAGTGAGTTGCTGATGTGTGCTTTGAAATTCTCTAGTAAAATGTTCTCTGAAGAGGTGAGTGCTTTTGTCATTACTTGGCATCAGGAATATTTGTACCCTATCAAATGCTGTTGTTAGCATATTGCTAACCTAGTCTTTAAGGCAAGCTACAAATGGCTTAAAAGGGGATACCTGTGTTGTTTGAAATATTAATAGCAGGCTAACAATATAGTGATGTGTATAAGTTAAATATATCAATAATATATATAATAATAATTAAATATATATTTTATCATATTCATGTAATATATATTTATGTAATATAATTTTACTTAATATGATTATATAATATTTATATTTTATTTTATATATTATTTATGATTATATATATTACTCATATATATGTCACAGTAAATATATATAGTTTGCTATATATAGTAAGCTCCATTTCATTCACAGTCAACTTTATACTTTGAATTAATTTGCCACTACCTTCTGTGAGCAATGAGGCAGAGGAGGGTTCCAAGTCTGATATTCATGTCTGTCTTTAAGTAGGATGTGTTGATAGGGTAAAGAGAGAGCTATGACTGAGATTTAACTTACATAAAGTGATGAATACAGTTTGCTCAGCAAATTCACAATTGAAATGAAAAATAGGTTAGGTAAGAGACTTAGTTTATTCAGAAATAATAGCAAAACCAATCTTTTAATGTACCAAAAATAATCTTTTACTGAATCTGTGTCATGTAGTGGGATGCTGTTCAGATTTCAACAAAGGAGAAAAAGAATGGATATATTGAGATTCCCTTTCCCCCAGTAATGAAATTATGCCTTCAAATGTAATCTTCTATATTTTTCTTATTACAGAATATACCCCCATTTATTTACAAATGAAAGATACCCTGTAGTCTTCATGCCCCAGGGTCAAATGGAGCTATTGACTGCCCTACTTTAGTGATCTTAGAAGGTAATTACAGGAATTTAAAAGATCTTAATAGTTTGGGCTGAAGATGTGTTGGGCGAAAAGCATATCTAGCTTTACTCTGTGTTCTTTCCACTGGGTTCAGGCCAAGTCCCAGGATTTCTTTTAAACAAGGACTGTGTGTGGTGGAATATGGTGATGGTGATGAAATGGACAGAAGGTGATTTTAACAAATGAGACAGAAAAAGTGCATCTTTCCTTATAATTTTGAAATACCATTCTTGTAAAATGTGTTTGTGGCATATACATTTCTCTTTTTCTTAAGACTTCTTTGTTTGAAAGAAAGAGCGGGAAGGAAGGGCAGAGGGAGAATGAGAGAGACTCTCAAGCAGACTCCCCACTGAATGCGAGAGCCTTAGTCGGGGTTCGATCTCATGACACTGAGATCATGACCTGAGCAGAAACCGAGAGTTGGGCACTCAACCGACTATGCCAACCAGGCACCCTGAGATATGTTTCTGAAAATTACTTTTTTTCATGGTAATGTAGACAAATGTATCTTCTGTTAGCTACAATTCGTTTTTTGAAATGGGGATCTTCATTTATTTGAAATTTTCAAAAATTGGGTCCATAAGGCCTAAATGAAAACTGTTTAAATGTTTCCAAAGTTGGTTGGAGTATTATTCCATATTAAAAGCTAACTGCCTGATTGACTATTCATGCCATAGTCTAAAATGCACCAAATCATATTGGCCTAGAGCGAATTAGCACGGGAGTATTCAAATAGAAGAGTATGAGCCTTTCTGCCACCTTGGAATTGAACAACCTGAAACAGAAATCTGTAGAACTAAAGATGGGTACTTTTAATTATTCACTGTGCAAATATGACCTTTGTCTAGTCTCTTTTGTCCGTCTGTATGTCATGTGGTATCCGGTTAGCATTAAATGGGATCCCACAAGATGCTGTCCTATGTACCTGAAGGTACGGCAGACTCCAGATTTCATTCTCCCTTAGAGACTAGAATGGCCTGAGGTCCCACTCCTTTCCAGAACCCATCTTCAGCCATGAATTTTGGCCTAGCCTTCTGATTCTTAAAAGATCCTGCGGTTTGAGCTTGTAACTTGTATTTGAGAAAAGCTGATTCAGGCCAATTGGATATATTTTTCCCCCTCTGTGAGATTTTTCTTTTGTGACTTCTGTGTCACATTGGTTCATTTTAACTAGTCAAAACAAGTTTTTGATTGTCTTGCTTCTTCAGGGTTAGGCTTTGAAAATCAAGCTGTATTCTTCCCTGTGCATCATTGACAATCACCAACAATAATAATTACAGATCATAATTATCTTGTGGCAATTATCTGGCTATTTTCATAAGCATGATCTTAGTAGGAAGAATGCATCTTGATTTTGGAAACCTTCAGGGCAGAGTATAATGTTTAGCCCATTCTTTATTCTGATGACTTGATTGGACAGCCACGGTGAGGAAGCATGTGGTTTCTCTTTGCAGATGGGAGCGCTCGAGAAGAGTCATACGAAAGAATACTTGTTCCACATTGTGCTTTCTCTGGGACAGCATGGTCCGTGAGGACAGAAGCCGCAGGACAGTTAAAAGAGGTTCCCCATGCTGGCTGCCAAAGCGTTTCCTCACTCTTCCTGAAAGGGCAGCTTGCATAGAACCTTTCTTCTTTCATTCCCTCTCCCTCCCTCTGTCCAGCTTTTTTGTTGTTGTTTTGGATTTTGATCAGTTTAAAAGAAAACTCATAAGTGAGAAAGGAAACAGGGAGTGTGCACACAAGCTTGCCTGCTTCTCCGTGTGGTACAGGCCAGTTCTCCCTGTCTGCCTCTAATGGGCAGGTCCACATGGCCCAGCTTCAGAAAGAGTGGGTCGGTAAACGCAGTTCCCTGACTTTTTAATCAAATACATGGTCGAAAGCCTTTCATTCTATTTTGATAATTCCATAAATGTCATTCTAAGCATATGACATAAAATCATGGCAAATCTGTATCTTCCCTTTTACCAATTAGATGTTTGAGCGCCTTAAAGCTAAATTTGACTTCTTAAAGTATATGCAGCATTTTCTCGATATACACAAATATTTAAGTTGTAATTACCTTTTATGAACCTCTAAGTACTAGATTTAAGATTCTGTAATGATTGAAGCACATTTTGATTAGTTTGTGTTTTAGTGAATCTGAATCAGTATTTTTCTTTGGATACTTAATATGGTGACTTAACTCTCTCCATTGCTTTACTTCTCTAAGAATAGCGGCTGCTTTCATTCTCCTTGTGCTAAGGGTGTAAAACGCGAGTGTCTGTGAAGTGCTCAAATAGGGATGGCTTTGACTGCCCTCCAGCTACCCTCTGGAGATGGAATTGCAGGGCTTGGTTGCCATGGTACTCCACCAGCTGGCACTTGTTATTCCTTTATTAAAGAGGATATAGGATATGGTGGGTCATAAATCACATTATTACTTCTTTTGGTTCAGAAATAAGGGACAAGTCTCAGTGGTTTCCCCAGAAAGTTGGAAATATCGTCGGATACTTTTGTCCTCAAAATCTAATGCAACTTTTGTTGAGGAATCTAGACCATTTAGTAACTGCATTATTTTAGAAGCACTTTAGATCAATAGGAGTTCTGAGTCATTTACCCCAGGCTTGCAGAGAATTTATATAGAATTTTGCTTTTAGCAGGTC